GTTTAAAAACGTGCCGTATGTCGCTATGTGGCCAGAAAGGTCAAGCGTGGCCAGGGGGCCCATGTTGGGACTACAGCGTTGCGTCAGCATATGCAGCGTCGCCATTCGGTGGCCTGGGAAAACCGTGATAAAGATACGGCGGTTCTGCCTTGCCCCAGGCCCAGGGTTCCCTTTTGTCATAGGGTGCTGGCAAGATTACAGGCCTCCCATAGGTGCTGCTGCCCAGGCCCCAACTCTGTCCCAAGGACACCCGTAGAGCCTAGGGTCACGCTGCTTGCTCGGGAACACACAGTGTGACCTGGGTCCTGTACCAGCTGATTACCTTTATAGAGAATACATTCCTGGATTGTTGTCTTTTTTTAATGTATCTCCTCCTAGAGTTCAGCTTTATTTTCTGGTGTGCTTTTTCATCTGCTCCCAACTAATGGAGGAATTTTGCACTTTTCATCTGGTACAAAGAATTGGAATGACATGCAGAAACTGCACTCACCGTCTCTGTGCATTTATCCGTACAGTATCCAGTGAGTTGGAATGACTTTTGCCGTGGAGGAATAGCCATCACTGGTGTATACACTAAACCTAGCTCCATTATGCCAGCATCAAACTTTCGTAATGATGGCGTATAATGCAGACGGATGCCTGACGAGTCACGCAGACCTGTGGGAAGATAAGACCAAAATTGCATCTGAGGTGTTTATATACTAATGATAGTTGGTGTTAAATACATATTCCAGCCAAACAAAATGTTTTACCTTTAAACTGAGAGTAAGCACAACTGCTTCTAACCATAGTCCTAGCATTCCTCTTCTGCACCACTATAGTTACTGTAAGTCATTATTGGCCCTGAACCTAAGAAAGAGCAGCTAATGTACTCCCTGGTTTCTAACTCCACACTCTGTAATAGTTGTATATCACAGGATCATGTGACTAGATGCTTCTGCTCTGCCCATAAACACTGAGAAAAACCTGCTGGATCTGGATACAATGAACTGTAGTAAACTCACCTTAAATGCCACAGGACTGGAAGCAATTCCTGCACTTCTGCCCTGATCTAGTCGTAAGGTTTCAGTCATTTGTATTCTGAACTCCAGGCAAACAGCTAAATACACCGATGAAATACATACACCATATTGCCAAAAGTATTGGGACCCCTGCCTTTACACGCACATGAACTTTAATGGCATCCCAGTCTTACTCTGTAAGTTGCCCCCCCCTTTGCAGCTATAACAGCTTCAACTCTTCTGGGAAGGCTGTCCACAAGGTTCAGGAGTGTGTCTATGGGAATGTTTGACCATTCTTCCAGAAGCGTATTTGTGAGGTCAGGCACTGATGTCGGACAAGCAGGCTTGGCTCGCAGTCTCCGCTCTAATTCATCCCAAAGGTGTTCCATCGGGTTGAGGTCAGGACTCTATGCAGGCCAGTCAAGTTCCTCCACCCCAAACTCACTCATCCATATCTTTATGGACCTTGCTTTGTGCACTGGTACGCAGTCATGTTGGAACAGGAAAGGGCCATCCCCAAACTGTTCCCACAAAGTTTAGAGCATTAAATTGTCCAAAATGTCTTGGTATGCTGACACCTTAAGCGTTCACTTCACTGGAACTAAGGGGCCAAGCCCAACCCCTGAAAAACAATCCCACACCAGCACTGTTCTGTCTGGCAGGGCAGAAGACAACATTTCTATCTGCTTCTGTAAAGTAAACCTTACAGACAGGGCCATGGATAAGGGGGTACCACCAGTCCTCCTGTATGGGGACCAGACAGCTCGGTGAATTGGATATGGGCAGGGAGGGTAATCACACAGTGGGGGGCAATTACTGGAAAGGATGCCCTGTAAGGCTCTTTCTGCAGCATCTGAAAGCTGGATTCTTCTCCTCTCCCTCGGGCTGGTTTTCAGTTTCTGCAGAGAAATTGATACAGGAAATTGGTTTAAGTAATTGCTCCCCCTGCCCACCATGCCGATCACCCTCCCTGGGCACATCTGATTCACCCAGCTGCTTTGGCCTCCACAGTGTTGGCTTCCCTCCTCTCCTTCCCATTGGCAGCTGCAAGCACACAATAGGATCCTTCAGGATGGAGATTAGGGGAAAAGTCCGATAAATATGCCACATTAACCAGTCCCTTCTTTTCATGAATGAACACAATGAGTGATCAGGACACTCCTTGTGTCCATTCATAACTAAAGCATAGTAAACTTGTTTTTTTGTTTTTATTAAGGGGACCCTGTTAGGTTGGCTATATGGAGCCCCGTGGTTTCTAACAGCAGCCCTGTTTACAGGTTTTATTCCTGCTCTGCCCTTTAAGACCTAGTTCACACTGATGCAGTGGAGGAAACACTGCAAAATCTGTGCATTTCCCACACCACATTGCAATCACATAGTGTTAATGCAATTCGGTGTGGGTGTGAATGTTAAATTAATGACAGCTCGAGACAGATCGTAAAATGCAGTGCGATTGCCAGAAATTGCATCACATGGGTGAGAACACATGCGATGCAGTTCAGGTGTGGGTAAAAAAAAAGGGTCCTGCACCTTTTTGATGCAGATACAATGCGAATTGAGCCATACAAAATGTGATGCTAGTCCTAGACTGACTGGGTATGCACTGTCCAAAAGAAAAGGAGGATGGTGGGGGAGAATTGCAGGGGAACAAACGGAACTTGCAGAATAGTTGTTACGGGAGTGGCAGTCTTCTGAGATTTTCTGCTGGCTATCGTTAGGGCCCTTTAAGAGTGTTGGTGTACTTAACGACAGTCCAGCTTAACCTGCATGTAGTATAGGTACAATATAGGTATGCTAAATTCCCAGCACAGGTGTAAGGTAGATGTGGTTGGCATGCAGTAAAAGTTCAGTATAATGTGGTAGAGGGTTGGTATAGGTGCAGTCTAGTTTTGGAATATGTACATTATAGAGTGCAGTATGGGTGCAGTTTGGGTTGGATACACTTGGTGTCCTTATGTCAGCCCCTGCCAGCAGTATCCGCAATGGGCAAAAAGCCCTTTAACCAGTCCACGGGATGCTGCGGTGACCTCTTGCTGTAGAAGGGGGGATCCCATCAGTCTCTCCCCAAAGGCCTCCAGTGAACAAAGGTGGGAAGCAGAGGGTGGGTCAATGCTCCAGTCTTTATGTGGCAAAAGTGCAGGTGTTGTGATGGGGGCAGTGCTGCACTGCCCCCCCAATGTCCTCACTCCCAGTCTTAGGCTCAGATTCATTTTACAGCTGGCTTTCCACGGCTCAATTGTGAGCCACGTTGTGCTGTGTGAATGGTCCCGTAGCCTGCTGAACGTGTACCAGTATGCTGCGGGCAAGGAAGGGGGGGGGGGAATAAAATTCTGGTGGAATCAACTAGGCAATCCTACCAGAAGTAGGAGCAGGTACAGTACATACCAAAATAATGTACTTGCTTTCCACAAGAAATAAAAATGTACAAAAGCGTTAGAGGAGGGTGGGAGGAGGACATAAATCAGGTTCCCTTTTAGGGTGAAGTTCCGCTCTAATTATGGATTGTATTTGACTGTCAATTAGATTTCAATGACGACTTTTGCACACATAAATGTTTCCTGAATGGCGTTCGTTCACAGACAGATTTTACTTGTTATAATTTCTTTTTGGTGTAATCAGAACTGAAATGCTGAAAAAAAGACAAATCTGCTGAGCCTAAAAGGAGTGGACAACAATGATACTGTAATAGAAGTAATAGCAGTATTTTCAGTGATAAGAGGACGACAGGTATGAAAAATCACTTTGTTTCGTAAGGCTGAACTTTCCAGCGACCGAAATCTATAAATAACCCAGGAATGCCAATGCCAATGCTTTGTGTGTCTCTCTGCACCGAGCGGGCAGGGAGGAGCTTGGCACCATCAGCTGTGTGGCACTAGACAGACAGAGAAACCCACATTGCTCGCTACTGTTATCGCACGCTCAGGACCAAAGATCTACTAATGAGCCTATGCCTTGGATTGTTAGTAATTAACTGAGACTGGAGTTTGGCAGCAATGGAAATAAAATTAAATTAAAAAAGAAAAACATTCGCCAAGCTGATATATGACAAAAGGGGGAAACTGGGTCATTGAACAGCAACCATTGTGCTGTTAGATTTCAGGAATATGCAGCATCAGACAGTAGTGTGGAAGACAGGTACTGTGAGCCAATCAGGTGCTATTACGCTGCCCAGTGCTATCAATCGAACATGTTTCAGGAACTGGGGACCCAGGCTATTTAGGCAGTTTACAGAAGAGGGAGAGTTTAGGAACAAGCTTAGTGGTTTGATGACACTTACCCACTTTTTACTATAAGATGAAGGTGGGGGGTAGGGGTGGCACAGGATGCTGTGTATAGTGGTGAGGTGACACCCTTTTGACTATGTATTGTGTATTGTCTATGTAAATGAGAAGAGTATTACAGATCCTTCAGAAGCTGATACATTTCACATATTTGTATAAAATTGTTTCTCCTGCGTTAAACAAATACAGTATATACCAAAATAGAATCACATTGATATATTGCATACAAATGACTATCATGAATGGGATTATGGAAAAAATCTAAAAAAAAAACCCTAAAATATTTGCCCTCACTGTAAGATTGTGTAAATACACCCTAATGGTTGACGCATATTCTTGTGTGTCTGGGTCAAATAATTTCTGCTGCTCGATATTTGCAATATTTGCAATATTTTCAATGCAAGAGTTAATTTCCTACCAGCTGGATTACATAAAGGACTGTCATTTTCTGATCGGGTATATGCAGAGGGTTGCTAGGTATTGCTGCGCTGCTATTTATAAACCCATTATACCACTGCTATCTTATGTAGAGACAGCTCATGTTAGGGTTGGAGGAAAATATATTTATTTTTGTTAAAAAAAGGGTTGATTTTCCTCCTTCTGAACAATTTTTCAATCTGCTTCAATGTCATTAGCTAAAGAAGACTGGCAGCTCAAAGAGGAAATGATCTGCAGAGCTTTGTGGGAATACCAGTAGGGGACAAGATGCTCTGCAGGTACTGTAAGGTAGCCATTAAGGAAATCCAAAGCTCTGCATGGTAGTGTAGGGTGAGCAGCCAGGATATGCAGTGCTTTGGAGGTTACTGCAGGGTAGGCAACCAGGACATACAGTGCTTTGCAAGGTACTGTAAGGTGGGCAGCCAGGACATATAGTGCCCTAGAGCATATTGTAAGGTGAGCAGTCAGGATATGCAATGCCCTGCAGGGTACTGTAAGGTAAGCAGTCAGGATGTACAGTACATAGCTCTGCAGGGTACTGTAAGGTGGGCAGACGGGAAACACAGTCCTCTCCAGGGTCCTGTAAGATGGGCAGTCAGGAGACACAGTATTCTGCATGTAAGGGGGCTTGTGATTAGTGTTAGCACCAAACTGCTAGAGTTAACATCTCGCCTCCTCTTGGACATGTGAGTGACCCCACTGTAGGCAGATGAAAGCCTTCGCCATATTGTGTCCAACTCCTGGCCATAGGCCCACTCATGACACCTCCAGCCCTAGACCTTAATATTAAAGAATAACGGAATGTCCACGCAAGTAATGCCTTTTCCGCACTTTACTGGTACTTTTCAAAGATTCCAGTGACATTTAACATCACACTGACATACTGACAAAACTCTTCGGCGCCAAACCCCATACACAGGAGCAGACTTTCTATAGC